TATTTAGCTCTGCGCGAACACCCACCAATAGTTATATTGACATATTTTGTTCATCTCAACACCTCTTTATAAGCAGTATTTTTGGTACTGCTACCAGGATGGTCCAATGATGGTACATGCTATATTAATGTTATATTGAGAGCTTCAAAGCCACTATTGTGGGCCATTGTGCATTCATCCCAATCTATTAACTTACAGTCTTTTAGAACTTATGTTATATTACTCTGTTTGGAAATATTGCACATATGTGTCTCTACTCTCGTTAGGTTTAATGGTAATTTAAATACAGAATGAGCTGTTCTACCTCTTTCTAGCAATGTAGCAGCGATGCCTGAAGAAGCTATAGCCAAAGCTATTCAATGATCTTTTCGTACTCTGTCCAATAAAATACTTATGACAAATGTTTTACCAGTGCCTCCAGGTGCGTCTAAGAAAAATGTTTGGCCAGTGTTCTTTTCAATACCCTCTAATATTTTGTCATATACTTAGGACTGTTCATTATTTAGTAAATGTTCATTACAATTTATATACTGTGCCAAAATATTTGAATCATAATTGATCCTCGAAGGTAATCTTTATTTTGTAAGACTGCTTCACATCTTGATGGCTGAGGTAAACCATAATGTTGCAAAAATTTACCTCACAGAGATAGAACTGTATCTTCAAGAGTAACTAAGCATTTATTGTATACTTCATTAATAATTGAATTCACATTCTCGTGTTGTATATCCAACTCCACTCAGTGTCGTATATCTTCTGAAAGACTGTCCTTGTATTTTTCCCAAAGACTTTAAGCATCTAACAATTGACAAAATATCAAAATAATTGCAAAAAGTTCCCGTGATTTAAATGGAGAACCACAAAGCACAGCTTCTTCCATAGTTGTATCCTAATGCTTTCGTCTTCCAGTAAGCCTAGAGCCTTACACGCTGCCAGATAAGTAGGTTGAATTGTGTCGTTAACAGTTTTCAATTTCAAAAAAGATGTAGGGCCTCGGATTTCATGAAGTAAAAGGCAAAAATAGTAACCCTCGGTATTATTTGGGTGAATAGTACATACTCTACCCAGAGCTTGATCTCTTTCTATTCCCGGCCAATCATTTACGTTAATTCCACGTTTTCTTCTCTCATATCTATTATTTTTCCGTACATAGTAAGAGGGAACATCAACGTAAAGAAGTGTTTTTGTAAAATCATCTGTTTTATGTAAGTCAAAAAATGCTAAAAGAGCAGTGTTTGGTGGGTTGCTAATCATGTCTGTTAAACGACTGGAGTCATTAGGGTTGAAATAAACACGCTGGCCATTTTCTAAATGCATAGAAAGATGGAAGACTGTTGGAAATCTCTCGTGGATAGGAAAAGCCAGAATTCTCCATACAGCCTTAGAGCTACTCCTGTTGGAAAATCCTGTGTGCGTCGTCGATTATGGCAAGCGTTATAATAGACTCATAAATGACACATTCCACTGTGTTATTTTAAAATCGAAATTAATAATATAATCTGTTATCGATAAAGTGTTTAGTATCCGAGCCTATAAATAGTAATAAGTACATTTACTGAAAATTTTATATCCATAGATATATCAGCAGTTGCGGCTAGGTGATGATGAATCACCCAGGACAAGTATTTTTATATGTACAGCTATATATATTTTTTTTTTATATATGGCTATATATATATTTAAAACTAATATACCTACCTACCTTTGTTTTAATACCTTACCAAACTGCAGTCACCAAGCGTATTATATGAATACGTATTATCATTACTTATTAGTTCTAATCGTTGAGGAGTGAACTACCTGCATCTCCCATTACTTTTCTCTCGAATATTTGTTGGACCTCGCATGACCCTAAAGTTATAGAAGATAGATAATTGTAACAGTTGAATAGATACCTTTTTCGTTACAACATGTCATATTATTGATTTTGTTCTTTTTGATCTGTTTTTTTCCATTGAAATGTGAAGTCAGCTGCCAGTGATGATGTTTCAATCGCTTTGCGTGGCATTATTCAGATTAACACATCCAATACAGTGACCTACTCGACACCTACTCTTCAGAAATTGTATTTTTATTTTTGTTTATTTGATTACTATAATAATTGTCATCACAGTAATAAGTAATTTATTGAGTTAATTATTTTATTTAAATAATAACTAGTATAATTAATGTACATATTATTATTGTCTTGTAATACATAAATTATTATTTGCAAAAATTTGACTATGTGTGTTATTTACCAAGTCCTTTTATTTAAATATTATAATACAATCTCGTCAATAAGTTCCAATTTGCATACTTTACATTCCTGGCATAACAATCTTAAAATAATTTGGATTTCGTATTTTGGTAAACATGATAATTGTACGTGTATGCGCCGGTAGGGAACAATAATTAGCCCTTGGCCCGATCGCCGTGTACGTCGCGCGCAATACTGACACACCGACCGACCTTATATTTGAGTGTATAATAATATGTGTTTAGCAACTCAAGAATAGTGGACGGGATCGCCGAACAAATACTCTAAGTGCTATAGGTAGTATGTGGTGAGTAGGTGTGTATGTGTTTATGTGTGTGTTTGAATATTAAAGTAATGTCAACACAAATTTAATGATGATAATTAGATATAATAATATGCTTTAGAATAATACACAATAAATAATTCTATAGCCAATAGGCAAAAACAATATAATAATATTTTATAACAATTTATTTGAGTCACCAATAACTATATAAATATGGCCAAATAATATAATAATATGATAATAAATATAGGTATATAAAATAAACTCACAATTATGACGGAGCACCGCTGGCCAGCTGCTACCTTTTATAAGCAATATAATAAAATAAATAATACACAATATCACAATATGTTACAACAAATAATAATAGAATTGGCGATTCGCGCCTGTAACAATATAATATAAAGTTGGCGATTAGCGCCTGTACAATTAATAATAAAAATATATATTGGTGATTCGCACCAATTACAAATAATAAAAATACAGCGATTCGCGCACGAAAATAATAGTACGAACGTACGGCTTAATAATTGTGATATGCGAGGCGATTTGCACCTTGCATGAGAATAATAGAAAATTGGCGATTCGCGCCTGAACTTAAAACCAATATAATATAAACCGGCACACTCAGTAATAAATATGTCTTGATGACAGCGGTGTGCGAACTGATTTGTGTTCGGGCGGCTGTGCTATTAGTCCGCGTTTCTCGCGGCGAGCAGTCGTCGACCGGTTTACATTAATACCTATAGGTAATCTACGTTTATATAATACACAAAACATAACAATATAAATATGATAATAATAAATAATAATAATATAAGCACGACGCTGTGCTGTGTGTGTGTGTGTGTGTGTGTGTGTGTGTGTGGTCGATGGTGATGTATACCGCGCTATTGCCGAATTGTCGCGGCGGCGACAATTTAACATTAAAATAAATATAAGAAATATTATCTGGCGTCGACAGTACGGGAAGCGACAAAAATCACGGCGGCCGTGTTAAATAATATTTGCGTAGACGGCGCGGCGGCTGGCGATAACGTTTAATCTGCATATTATGTAACTCACAAGACACATTCAATACAACAATAAAACAATACAAATAAAGTGATATGTGTGTGAGACCAGCTGTTCCTCCATGACTAGTGATAATTACCTTCTTAATATATTACTTGCTACCTACTATGTTGCGGCGTCAACAATAATGTTAATATTATACTAAAAATGAAACATCTAAAAATAAATAGGCTTAAAAAATATTGTGAATATTAATAGTGCATATTTTTATACTGAGTACACTTTATAATACTTGTGTAGAATAAAAGTTCTATGTAATAATATATGTAATTACATTATACAAGTATACTTAAGTCTTGGTGTTCAGTGAAGGGGTGTTCCAGTTTAAGTAAGAGTAAGGAATTAAGAATTGGTGACTGTAGTCACATTCGTTTTCGTCGCTTCTTTTATGATATAAAATATCCGACAAAATGGATTGATGCAACTGGTAATCCTAATTTAAAAGTAAAACATGGTATGCTACGGTGAATATAAATAAATTTGTGGTTGATATGTTTTATTTGTTGACAATTCACCAATACTATAGCCTGTCGGGTTGTACTACCAAGTACACAATGTTATTTGTAACATAACGTTGTTACCGTTAGCAAACATGCTGACTTTGACTGATTGAGCATTATAGTGGCACCGATGTCAATTTCATAAGGTATTGCATACAAATAAAATCTGAGATTGGTAGGGACCACCACATTTTTTTCCAAATAGACCCGTGGGGACGATGCCCCCACTCCCCAATTCATAGCTATAACAGAAAATGACTCGCAGAACTTCAGATGTTTCTTATATATTATAACACACAGAAACCAAAAATGATAATTAGTACTAATAGTTGTCCATCACTTACTCACTTACATAGTTGTATTTAACAATGAAGTCTTTTTACTAAATACTTGATGTTGGTCGGAATAACAATAATTTATCAAACAAAAATAACCATTAACTTTTAACATTCTTTAATCTTTGTAATAATTTTTTTTTTTAAATCAATTCCAAAAATGTTTTAGTAACAACACATTTTATTAACAAAAAGTTTAATATTGTAATACTTTTATAAGAGATTTACTTTTTCTTGAAAAATTTTCAATTATTTTCTCAGTATCAATGTTTATATCCGGTTCAAAAATTATTTTCATGAGACTTTCCAAACAGTCTTCACTCATTGTTGTTCGTAATTTAGTTTTAAAAATTTTTAATTTGGAAAATGAAAAAATCTCGAAAAAATCTCGATTGAAACACTTGTCACAGGCAAAGTTATTGCTATCTTAAGCAGAATATAAAGATTTGAAACACACCATTTAATTTTGCAACACAAAACATATCTGCTGCACTTAACACTGAACTTATGTTATTTTGATCGTCATCATCATCATTTATGTCAAATTCAAGGTGAGAGTTTTTATTCTAATCAGTTAATTCTTCTTCGTCATTCATAGCAACTGGATGTAAATATTCTGGAAGAGTATTAGAATGCTCTATTTCAATTATGTTAGCGGCAAACCGAATATAATCATAAACTAATTTTTCATAGTTTAAATATTTTGAATAAATATTGCATACGGCATTAAAAGCATCTATTGTGGGAGAATTTGGATTAGACCTTACTTCTAAAATCTGTCTCCTAGAAATAAGTGATATATCATTTAATAAATCAGTATTGTCGGTAATAAATTATTCATTCAGCTCATTTTGAACTTGGTCAATGACTACAAAAAAGCAATTAATTTTTAATTTTTGCTTAGGATCAATTATCGGTTCATCGTTACTTAATTCGTCATATTTTTTAGGAACTTTCCTTTTTTGTAGGATTGGTAAAGGCGTAAATTCAACTTTACTATTTTCAGAAAAATTCTCAGCTTCTAAAATAATTAAATTAAAATTGTTATCCAGTTCTCTGTTATTAAGTAAACTAACTTTGTTTTTTACACTATCGATCAACATAGTGAATAAGTCTAAATCTGTGGTTTGTAACGTCTTGTTCGATGGTTCATGAATATTGAATAATTTTTTGAACAAAAAAGCTGTGACATAAATTGATTGGATTTTAAATAGTTTAATAGACCACTGCAAGTATCTCCTGTTTTTGCATCACCAGGGCCTTCTGGGGTCCGAATATCTTCTAAATTTTCTATTATTGAATAATGCCTGCTTAATATTGTATCTAATGCTAATGAATGATAAGACCATCCTGTTGTGTTTACTCTTTTTAATGTCATTGTTTGACCAGAATGTAATTTATGAAGACGTTTTTCTTGATATTTTCGAAACAATGCTACTCTATTCTTGGAACACCATATAAAAGCATACAGAGATTCAACATTTCCAAATAAATCAACCGTAAAGGTACTGCAAGATACTACATTTTTAACTACCAAGTTGAGGCGATCAGCATGACACCATATGTACATTGCCTGTTGGTTATTTTCTTGTATATGGGTCTTAAGGTCTTGATATTCCCCTCGCATATTAGCAGCTCCATCATATGACTGCCCTATAACGTCTTCTTTCCAGTTTAAATTTAATTTGTCCATAACTTTTTGGAAAAGGATTAATAAATCCATACGAGTTGTATGTGCCGATTAATAAATAATGAATACAAAAATAAATACCATACATCATACAATGTAAGCAGTAAACTCTATTCATGCTAGGAGAATAAGACAACCAATCATGATGAACTTTACCAAATTTATTATTATTAATTTATTACTATAAATGAGTAAATCGACGACCGTATGAATCTCGAGGAAATTATTTATCTGGTAAATCTTCTGGTATAGGTTGACATGGCCCCAAAGTATAAAAGTGCTGTTGTAGTTCTAACGGAATAGATTCATATCTTGCTAGTATAGCTGGATCATTTTTCCAAACTAGAATTGAAAAAATTAACAATAAGTTTTTGATACAATTTTTTAAAATATTATTTAATAAATAACTACAAAAATTAAAAATTCAAATCCATACGTAAACTTGTTTTTCTTTCTAAATAAGAATATGATTCAGAATTTTCATGCTTTATATCTGATAAATCATCTAATAATAAAGAATCATTTTTGTTCTTTGCAATACAGTATTAAGTATATATAGTTGATTTAAAACAATTTAATACATTATATTATTTAATAAAAAAAAGAACCTAATATAAAAAATCAATTTGAAATTCAAAGATTTAACATTTAGTATGTATAAACTATTTTTAACTACAAAATAAAATATTATAAGTACCTGAACCCAGCAATGATGGACTAATTTCACAGTTTGAGTCCAGTGAACGACCAACACATTTTAAAGGATCATCATCGGTGGTTTTTATTCCACACTTTAAGTTTTCATCTAAAAATAAATTATAAAACAAAAATAATTAATTAACACTCTTTAAACAACCCATTAATACTTATTTTAAAGTTTATTCTAATACAAAATCAATAATAATTTAATTATGATTTTATTTAAAATGTATCACAATAACATTAAAAAAAAATAGCTTTGAATTTGTTGATTAATAACTAGAAAATTAATTTTACATCAAAATATAATAAAAAGGAACCTACCTGAACACAGCAATGATGGACTAATATCACAGTTTGAGTCCAGTGAACTACCAACACATTTTAAAGGATCATCGTAGATGGTGTTTGATGGAACCTAACCTAACCTAACCTAACAAATTATATACAAAAATAAATACTTAATTTGAGGCTTATGTTTTTTACATGCCTGCCGAGTGAAAGATATAATAATATTTTCGAAACATCATAAAATATTGAAATAATAAACATAAATAGGTGATATACATTTTGAGTAACATACCTGAAACTATGGTTTCTTCAATTTTTCTTTTTTTGAAAAAATAATTTGATATAGAAAAATCTGACAGAGGTAGTGTAATGACATGCTTTTTATTATTTTTTATTTTGCACGCATCAATATGTCTCTTCCAATTAACTTTATTTAATTGTCCCCTTTCTCTTTTACATATTTCACAATATGAATTCATTTTAAAAAAATAACAGTTTAAAAAAAAACACAAATGTCAATCTCTGAAACACTTAAGTACCTTAACGGCGAAATCGGCGAAAAACAAATGAAATAATTATTATTAATGACAAGAATTTACGGCACTGACGTACTACATAACAACGTCTAGGTTTCCTATATTCAAATAGAATATTATATTATAGTATCAACAACTGTTATTTATAGCCGTGTTCATTACCGTGTTTATTAATCTATAGGCGCGTCCACACGAGAGCACGCACAAGCTGAGCATGTGTGCTCACGCCGTGCGTCGCACAAATTCACATCGTTTGGACGAAATTCCGAGCACGCACGAATGCTCGCGGTGCACAGCGAACGCGATCCGATTGTTGTCGGTAAATTGTGATTGCTCAAAGACATAATTGCCCGACGCACTGCTCCGTTTGGACGCGTGCGTAGAAAAAGTTCATTTGCTCATACGTGCTACTGTGCTAGCTACTTAACACTTTAGTTTTTTAATTACATTTTTAAACAAAATAATTGAAATGGAGTGGTGCAACGTAGACTGCATTCAGTTGATCCAAGAGTATCAACAAGAAGAAGTATTGTGGAATCCAAAACATGCATTCTATTTCTCTAAAACAAAAAAACAAGATGCGTGGGAAGAAATAGGTAAAAAGCTCAACAAAAATCCCGAAGAAGTTAAAAAAAAAGCATTAAGTCTATTAGGATCTTATCGCCGAGAAAAGGCCAAAGGGAAGAAGACCATGGGGACTGGTACAGGTACGTTAAATCATATTATATTAATATTGTATGGTAATAATTCCATTGATTATAAACACTACATTAGTATATAAGTAAAGTATATTAGTATGATAATTAATGATATTATAAATTAAAATATACTTAATATATAATGGGCGTCAAAAGGAGAGATAAATAAGTAGTTTTTTTTACCTTTTAACAAGGACTTTTAAAATTATAACTATTATGATATTTATGATATGTCCAGGTCCAGTGTACACAGTAACCAACTGGAAATTGTATTAATTGTTATTTAAATTAGCCATAAACTATCAGTATCACAAATAAGAATCAATATTTAGGGCCGTGCGCCCGTGCCACACTATGCGTTTTATCGGGACCGGTCGATTCCTGCCGCTGACCGACCGCAACATGTTGCGGTTTGGCAGGAACCAACTCGACGGGAAGTTTAAACAAAACACGTTATATTGTTATAGATTTGTTTTATTGGTTTATTTCTTTACTGTATATAAGTAAATTCTTAACAGCCCTAAGTTATGAAAAACCCTAAAATTAAATTTTTAAAATAACTAATTAATAAAGGAATATAAATAATTTAATTGTCCTGTACTAATAGCTAATAATACAAAAAAAAATAACAGAAATGACTAATGACTGACAAGTGGTTAACTATTCTATATTTTATATTATTGAAAACAATACAAACTATTTGTTACATATTAGTATTATATTAGTTTAATATTATAATATAAAGAAAATATAAGGTTATTTATTATAAATTATTATTAAAAATAACGTAAGAACTGGATCATCGTATAAACATTGTACTTACCTATATACGTGTAGAATTATTTACAATTTTAAATAGAATTTACAATTTACAAAGTGGTAAAATATAAATTAATTGATTATTATTTAGGACGAAAAGATGTTTATGTTTCCAAGTGGTTTGCCTTTGAGGCTTTTCAGTTTTTGCTAGATCGAGATGATCCTCGACCAACTCTCAGTACAGATAACGTGAGTACTTATAATTAATAAGTTGTAATAATTTATATTTGTATACCTAAAGATAGGTACGTAAATTAATAGTTAAACTAAATTATGAAATATTGAAATACAAATAATACAATATACAAACATAATGGTTATGCATAGTTATTTTGCCAAGGCAGTGCTCCGTTTTCACTAAAATATGTTGCAAACTCGTTTCTTATTTCATGTGCAGTAGTTTTTGATTTACGGGGAATATTTCGAAGGGGTTGTAATGGTTGATCATTTTGTCTCCAATGTCCTTCTATCAAATGTCCTTCGTCCTCTCTATCAAAACAACCGGGAGGAGTATAAGTGTTTCGAGAGAAACTACTTTTCCTTAAAAAATTATGCAAATAAACAATAGTCATCACAACAATTTCTGCTTTTTTGGCTCTAACAATAACGGTTTACGTAAAACACGAAAAATTGAGGAACAAATTCCAAAGACATTTTCAACTACTCTCCTACATCTGCTTAAACGGTAGTTAAAAACACGCTCTTTTGAATTCGTAGGGTGGGTGCCAGAAAAAGGTTTCATTATTATTTCGGTTAGTGGGAATGCTTCGTCAGCTACAAAAACAAATGGTATATGTATACTTCTTTGAGGTAGTGGCAGTGCTTGTGGTACATTTAAACTATTAGTTTCTATTTTTTTGTTAAGATCACAATTTTTGAAAACACCCCCATCGGAAATTCTACCTTGGCAACCTACATTTGCATAAATAAAATTATAATTCACGTCGACCAGTGCAAACAAAACGATACTAAAAAATGATTTGTAATTATAATAATCACTACCACTTTTAATCGGGCTTTGCAAAGTTATGTGTTTCCCGTCCATTGACCCTAAACAATGAGGGAAATTCCATTGCTTATCAAATTGATCCGCTACATCAGTCCATTCTTTGGGAGAGGAAGGCATCTAAATAAAAAAAATAAATATATTGAAATACTTTATACCTATTTTTTGAAAAATATTGATAAAAATGATAAATTATTTAAAATATGCATCTAAAAATATAAAATAGAAGAAATATGTATTAATATGCAAAATAAAATTTCAAAACTATCTTTGTGAAAGCATGAAACGTATTTGGTTTCGTACTCTGCTATTTTTGTGATAATGCTAAACAAGTATGCATATGCTACAGGTTCTCTGCTCTACAGTCATAATTCTTAAGTTCTTACTTTTACAAAAAAATAAGTAGCGAAAAGTTACATTGATTCGTATGTTTGTTTGATGTTATGAATAATCTAAATTTGTCTTATTTATATAACATATTTTATTTTAGGAAGATGTTTTAAACGAGTCGGGAGATGTGCATGACGGTGACGACTTACCAGAATGTGAGTTAACTCAACAAGAACAAGAAATTAACGCTGAATCGTTCTCTATTCCTGAACAACCAACAAGAAAAAAAAAAAAGACTCAAGTATCGGATAAATGCATAGAGGATGCTATTGAGATTTTAAAACGACCTTATCCAACTCTCTCTACACCTGATGATTGGTCAGTTTATGGACAGCATCTTGCGAATAAACTTCGCAAATATACCCCCCACGCTAGTTCCATTGTCCAACATTATTTTAATAATATATTATTTGAAGCCGACATGGGAAAATTTGATCTACCTAATAGCCATGTACTTCAACAACCTCAATATCCAAATTTCAACGCCTATTCAACACCATCTGCTACATTTTCTCAAAGCTCTCCATTGTCATCCACGGCCTCTCCTTATCACTATACGCCCGT